TACATTCCTAACACCTCCAATGAGAAAATGAAGACAAAAAGAATTTTTTCATTGAAATATGTTGATTTGGGGGTCTTCGAGTTGATCATATGTATTCATTTTGCATTTCATTATAACATTTTCTTGTCTTTTCAGGTGTCTGGCTATTTTAAAATTACAGATGAAGCTTCTCATTAGAAAAATTCAACCACAGCTAAACTTTTGTGGGGTTTTCCCCCTGCTTTTTTTATTTGTCAATTTGTAATTATTTTATTCTACAGTCCCAGATTTACATATAAATAGCTGGAACTATGTGACTTATGTGCATATTTTTGGAGTGTTTTTCCCCTCTATAACCATAAATATTGACGTTGAGCACTGCATGTATTTGTAGGCGTTACAAAAACACTACAAAGTAAAAAGAGATGATAGTCTTCTAAATTAGGTGGTTTCTTTAAGTTTGTTTTTAAAACTTGTCTTTTATGTTTATTACCTTTTGCCAATTGCTATTTTTATTTGAAAGGGACATGTTCATTTTTACTATGGTGCAATTCATTATATGTAATAGAGGTTTGGATTTAAAATTTATCTTTTTTTTTCCTAAAAGGAAGATGCATTCCCACTTTCAGTATATGCTATTGAAAGACCTCACTGTTTTAGTCTCATACCAAATGAGAGTAAGTGGTAAATAGCCACAATTAAGTTGAAATGGAAAGCAAAGAAACATGTGATTCTAAGATGTGTCAAGGTCTCTGGGAGATCCTCTTTGCCAAAATATTCAGAGGTGGACACCAGATATACTAGCTAGGCCCCAGCCCTCACTCTCCTGCACACAGCCTCCTCAAGGAGGGGGAGTTGTAACAGTTGATTTCTCTTCTTTTCCAGCTAACCCCCGACCCCCACCCCAGCTCATGCTGAGTTATTCTGATTCCCATATTCTCATTTGCATCTTTATGGATAGCTGCATCATTTTCTCTGTGATTGTGCAAAGGGAACATTGTCCTAGAATGCAAACATTGGTGGCCTAATAACACTAATGTGTATATTCCAAAATAGTTTACTGTGGCTTTTTCAGTGGATGATTGATAATGGATGTCAAGAATAAAATATTTGTGCAAGAACAGATTCTGTTTCTGGTTTAAAACGTTCTGTTGTAATTAGCTGTATATGTGTCTGTTTACCCTGGTGGGTCGTGAGTTCTTCGTGAGCAGAGGTCATATCTAATTCATCTTTACTTCCTCAGCACCT